TGATTTGTCTTTATTCTTTAGTTCGTTCCTTTGGGACTGAGGACAGACTATGTGACCGCCCAATTAACCCACGAGATGTCATGTACGACAAAATCGTTTTCAAAGGAGACCAGATAGAAGATATATATATATTAAACTCTGTTGCGGATGATGATCCGATCATCTCCTTCTTTACGGTAGCTAGATTTTTATTTTTAACCATGGTTAGGACAAATCACCCACTTCGTCAAGCCTATTGCCGGAAAAAGATAACAGCGGCAAGCACCAGGGCCGCCAAAATCATTCTTCACCCGACCAATGGCCTAGTGAGTCGTCTCTCGGGTCAAACAGAGCGGATAAACAGGCAAGTTCGCTGGTAATATCTGAAGGGGGAGATGCTAATGTCTCTGGAGGTACTTCCAGTTCAATTTTCAACATACCTGGGCTGGGACGACCTTTTATTGGAGGCTCTCACAATGAGCAGATAGCTACTTCAGCTTCTAGCCCGAAGAATCTAAATCAGCGTGAAAGCTCACGAGTTGAACTAGATGTTTTGCAAATGCTGGATAAGCGTGATAGTAATAAGAGGCTTCCTGCAGCAAATGTCAATAATCAGAGGCCCAATTATCCTATTCTTACTCCTCAGTCTGATGGATCATCTTTCCATAAGCACGATCAAAATCAGAGAGGCTGGGATGGGACATCTCTAAGTTATCCTAACTTCACTTCGAATAATCGTTCGGGTTTTGGATCACATAACTCAGGATTCGCCGTTCTTTCTCAAGAGTCAGCTAGAGGTAGACGTGGTCTGCATAATCGTGGCGCAAATACTGGGGGGTCTTATAACAGGCGCGCTCCGCGTGGCGTTCCGGAATGGGGCCGGCATACAGGTGTTCCAACAGCTGTCGGAGACAAGCGTTCCTGCTTTTCTGATGAGTATGACATTGAAAGAGCTAACGCCGAGCTCGCTGCCGAACTAGAAAAGATGAATTTGGGGGTTTGTGTTTATGTTGAATTTTCATATTTTTATTAAAGAGTTCTTCAGTCGATTCTAACACTGCTGATGTTGGAGATAATTCTATTAACGAAGAACTCAAAAATCCTTTCGATCAAGAGGAATCATTCTATGATTTACTCAGTTCAGATATGCTTGACAGAGCCAATGGGTAAGCCAAGTCATAACCTTCAATACGCTTGTTTTGTGACTACTTTCATAAACTTATTCCATTTATAGAGTTTTGAAAAGGGGGAATAGGCGTGATGAGCGACGTCTTAATTCTGACACATTTGGCACAACGGCTGCTAACCGTGGCCGTGACCATCTTCGCTTAAGAAACCAGCGTGGTCGGGGCGCACCCGCTGCTTATACTGGATATAATTCTCCGAATCCTCCCAGACGTGGCGGCAGAGGATTCACTTCCGGAGGCTGGAGGTCCAGTGGAGCTGGTGACTCAGATTGTGTTCAGAAACCAAAGAGAGCCTACCCTATCCCAATCGCCAGGGCCAGCTAATCTCTTTTATTTTATCCCAAAGGACACCAGCTCTACCCGGTTATTTCTCGTTCATATTTTGCGGTCTACTTGACGGTCCCTCGAATCCAATCTCGTCGAGTTGCCGCTGGGTGGAACAACACATAATCTTGTTTTCTATAGGTACGCATATGACTCATTC